AAAAAAAAAAAAAAAAAAAGTAGAAAAGCAGTAATTATATATATCATTGATTTACAAAGCATCCAATGTTGAACCTGCACGAATCTGGAACAGGGCAACAATTCTAAGGACCCCATGTCGTTAGAATATTATTTTAAGGATTATGGTTCAAAGCATCTATATAGTAAAAAATAATAATAATAAAAATAAAAATATAATTATAATCTGTAAATTAACTTTAAAAAAAAATAAAATACCCCCTCAGCCAAGAAAAATCAACCCGCATACCCCAAAATTGTTCAGCAGATGAGCTAGCTACAAGCAGTCTAATCTCAAGCATGACTCGAGCAAGGCAGTAACTAATAATGTTATGAAGCCATATAATTCAGCAAATAAAGATTCAGCTAACCACAACTTAAATAAGTTCTCGCTATTACCAAGTCAATGTATATATTGATAGCTAATAGATCTGTGTTTTGAATGCTCAGATTTTAGTTTGACGGTGGCAATGGCAATGGCCATGTCCTTCTCAAGATGTCCCATTGACTGCGGCAGCTGCGGCATGCATGTTTGCGTCCTGATGCTGTGGTATAGAGTAGTAACCACCATAGCCACCATAGCCTTGCCCTCCATAACGTCCCCCATTCCATTGGTTATTAGAATCACCTCTCCACTGCCAAACATTAAATCAAGAGGAATAAGAATAGTATAAATGGTTGCCGTTCGTCATCAAAAGGCTATTGAAGGTCAAATACCCTAAAAAAAATGTTTTCATAGTAGCTAAGAACAGATTTACGATTATTGCTGCTAAAAGAGAAGTCAAAGAAAAAGATGCCAGAGGACTGACAATGTGCAATAAATCAAAAGGTTGAAGAAACTAACTACCAACAGTATAATGCAATGCCTTCATGACAAAGGTCAAAGATATGGAGAGAAGGCAAAAAGAAAAAAAAAACGAAAAAAACAGGTCCCTAGATGATTCGGCATCAAGTAAACAGATTTTCAAAATCAATGTTCAAATGTTCAATAATTTACTCTCTAAATGTATAAATTTCCCCAGTAATTCTTTTTATGTCAATTAATCCTTTTGTTCAATAAAGGTCTTATGTTCAAAGTTGCCTAAACAGGTTCATCAGACCTTGGGAGTATCAATAATTCCATTATGTATTCAATAATTGTCTAATAATGTCATGATATTTTTTCCAGTAACAGACCCAAGAATAGAGGGAAGATGGGATATCCCCACTCCAAACAAGTGTTGTAATTCCGTATGCATGGTCATCAAATCCCATTTCTCCTATTTTCTAAAGGTTCTAGACCATACAACAACAACTAGTAGTCTAAAAATATTCATAAGACGAGTAAAACAGGACAAAGCTTTAAAACGAAAAATACATAATCAAACCTGCTTGTTCCCTGTACTGCGACCCCAAGAAAGACGAACAGTTTGCTTGCCGATAACTGTACCATTCAGTCCCTGTATTGCATCCTCAGCATTCTTTCTACAAAAAAGAGAAAAATACGTGCAAAGATAGGTCATGTGCTGTCCATTAGTACCCACGAATACAGTGTTTCAATTTTCTTTGCATGTAATTGGATGAATGTGTTTGTTTAAATCAAGCTGGAATAAGTACTATAAAAACCAAAGCTAAATATTTGTTTAAAGACCAATAATTACATCGCTATGAATCTAGCCGTTAGCCAATACAATGCTTAGAATCCTCAAAAAAAAAAAAAATTAGTGCTGCATTAGAGATTGGTTATCTCTACACCTTGCCCTGAGTGCACAAATCACATAAAATTGTAGTTTAAAGAAACATTTAAGTATGAGAATGGATAGCGTCCATATAACCTCATTTTAAAGAAACATTTATCCAAATAACTTGTAGTTTAAACAACTATGAAATATATTCATACAAAACAACAAAATATAGTTTAAAATTTAAACCAAAAAAACCATTTTCAGAAACATCACTCAGCAGTCAGCAGTTGTCAATTTGAAGGAAGATAGGATATAGGACCAGTATTTGTTGGCAAAGGGGCAATCGAGGAATAGGCTGCCTTGTGTCTGTCTTTCATGCACAAGATAAGATACACTCATACACCATCCTAAAGAGAGAGCTCATGTGGATATCTCTTCTGAATCATATCGTGTGTGTTAATAGCGTTCTGTCACAATTAATGTCCCATAAGAAGAACTAAACCTTTTTCAGGTCCATGCATCCGAAAGTTCACTGAACTCTATAAAGAGAAAAGCAAGAACAACCGTGCTTTTGAATCAATTCACTGGAAAGGGAAAAAATCAAGCAGAAGCTGGAAGGTTCTAGGGGCCATCTGGATCATCTGAGGGGTAGAATGATGATAGCAAATCTGATAGGAAAGCCCACACTCAGTATCTTCCTCCAAGAAGAGTTTTCAAAAGTTGAGATCCTAATCATGCATAGGGTGTTCCATGTATCTGTGATAGTTTCCTGGTGGAGGGAGAGGAGTCTAGGAAACACAAGTGCATTTCTAATCTACCAGTCTAGTCAAAAGCTGGCAGAAGAGCCGTTGGGCTCTTATTCGATCCTTAAGCCTGAGAATAGACTTTTAATGACCCTTAGACGAGGTGCATACATATAAGTCCAGCCAAGTGTTGATGGGTAAGAGCCAAATTTGTCCATGATGACTCTTCTACATAGGTATTCTTTCTCATAATGTACCTAAAAACTCATGAATGTCACTTTTATGATTGTAAGAATAGCCTCCTTTGGAGATATGACTTTCTCCATTTTTCAAGCTTGTTATCTATTATATCAGCAATAGGGGCCTAAAAGAAGATGGAGCAACCACTAGTGCCAACCTTGCAATGAAATCTGCCTACATCAGCTTTGAAGGATGAATGAGTATTATTTATCCCCCATAAAAAAATTTCAATGCTCGATATTAAGCTCTAAAGCTTCCTTAAAGATGTTGATGATATGATATTAAAGAGGGTTTCTTTTCATCGAAAAAATCAAGCTTTCATAAAGAAAAATGAAATAAAATAGTACGAAATTTGGTAAGACCGAAGGAGAAGCTTTAAGAGAAGAGTCTACTAAAGCAATCTGCCATATCGATGGTGAGGAATGGAGAAAGGGGGTCACCTTTTCTGACACCTCTTAAAGCTAAGATTTTATCAGGCTTGTCATTAATGACGTTGGAGAAGTTGGCACCAGAGACTCATTTACTATAAAAAAAAAAAAAAAAAAAAGGCACAACCTTTGGTGTGAAGAACTTTATCTAAAAAGTTCCAATCAACTTTGCCATTGCCGTCTTTAAAATTTATAAAGAAACAAGCTCCAGATTATGTGCAATCAACCTGTAATTGCGAACTGAAACCATCCAAGCACGCACTCCAAATAAAAACAATAGTTATTATTTTTCTAAAAAAAATCTATGAACTTCATTGGACAAATGAAATTCTAGGAGGGGAAAGAAAAAATTCATTTCTTTAGAAGGAATCTCTTTGATGGATAATTAGGGAATGGGCTTGACTTGGTTCTCTCACAAGTTGGAGCTTGTTTTTGTAGACCAAAATGATGGTACAATTACAAAATTCGAGGATAGAGTTTATAATCTGGCAGATTTGGCAACTTTTTCTACAAAACCTGGTGAGGGCAAGCTTGATCAGTATATTTCAGCCAAGTTGATTTGAGACGGAAAAAGAAGTAAATTTTACGGATGTATTTTTGTAGGTTAACCACTTCCGCCATCGTGTTCGGCAGCTCACTTTAGGAACAAGGTAAAAGGTAGCTTGTTGTATGAATAAAGAACAAACACCTATGTCCGGCTTGAGTGCCAAGTTTACAGATTCAAAATAGAGAGCCTTATGCAACATATTTGGTAACTAGTCTAAGTCAATCTGGTTTTAAAAAAATGTTCCACTTGCCATAGCTTTTTAAATATATAGCTACAATTATTATAATAAAGAAGTACATATCTACAATTATTCTAGAAAAGCAGGCTACCTAATCAAAATATCCTAAAAGAAGACGCAGGCATATATAGGTCATAAATCTCAGACCCAATGAGGCCAGCTACTATAGCAAGCCAAAACTGACTGCTACTTCACGGGTCAATCCAACTTGGGCCAGAGTAACCTTCCCAATTTGTAACCTCTAATTCTTTAAAGATAAGATAAGCATGGCAGCTGCATGTTTAACAATACCTGTTGGCAAATTGCACAAATCCACATCCTTTTCCAATCGGGATTTTCACAGAGACAATCTCACCAAATTTAGAGAAAGGTTGCCTGAGATCTTCGTCACTAACATCAGAATCAAGGCCACCAACAAATATCTGAGGTAGCACAAGTTGGTTAGGCATGTATTGGAAGAGAGAAATAATATGAGACAGGGAAGGATAGACTAACAGTCGTGTTGTTCGATTCACCATCTGATTGTGAACCCTGAACAGCCATGCCATTTGCATGTCCACCAGCCAATACCAAAGCTAAATAAATGAAACACAGAAATAGGCATCAGAATCAATGTCTAAACTCAAACTCAAATATATATTGAAAACACAAACTTCATTTTCAGTCACATCTACACCTTATAGCTGCAAAATAAATTAAACAGTAGAACGTCTTCTACACAAGAAGTATATAGCAAATCTATGTTCATAATTCTGATGCCTAAAATCCATTCATGAAAATGAAAATATTACTAGGACAGATGCCAAACCATGCACATGTCAGATGAAAACATCGAACTTTTATTCTTCATCCTCTAGCTGACATACAGCCAAAAGACACTAATACTGGCCAGTAGGCTGGTTCCCTAAAGTTCTCAGAGAAATGATGTTTTACTTATCAGTGCAACAGGAGGGGAAAGATGAAAATAAAAGAAGATTTCAAGAAAAACCAGTACCAAAAAGTTACAATACGATCCAACTTGGGTATCAGATAACAAAGAATAATGTGACAAAAAACATGACTAACAGAATAATAGATCCACAGACAAAATCACTGGTATCCATCAATAGTCTCGAAAATCACTAATGCTGAAACTGTTTAGCATTTAGAGGATGGAAAGATTTAACAAATAGCACTGGGTTAAGGATACAAAATCCTGCAAATGTTGCTATAGCAGATTTTGTACTCTAAAAGTGTACAACTTGTATTGCAAGGTATATCCATTGATAAAGATATATAAATGGAAATACGGAAATCCATCAAAAAGGAAGAAATAAAATGAAAAATAGAACCCTAGCCTCAGAACCATCCCTCATTTTGTCGCTGAACTAATTCCATGAAACTAGAAGAATGAAATAGGGAACCGTTTGCAAACAATTCTACTGCTAACTGTTAAACTTCTGTAACGACCATTAACAACTTTATATTAATTATTGTAGTTGCTAAAAAAACGGGACAATTTTGAATGATAACTTTTTAATTACCTCTTTGGGATCTTTTTTATTCTTTGTTTTTTAGGTGTGTGTTAGGGATGGAGACATATTAGTTCATTCATTCATGAAGCTGGTAATAGAGATGGTTAATGATGATTTAAAGACTTTCAATTCCTTAGGAACAACAACACCCACAGTAATGCAAGAAAAACCAAGGCTAACCTTGTGATGAATAACCTTGTTGATATCCAGATGCTTTCTTTGGTGTTGCAACACCAATGCGCATGGGTCTACTTGAACAATATATCCCATTCATTTCAGTGACAGCCCTTGTCCTTTCACTTTCATCACCAAACCTGACAAATCCGTAACCTTTTGAACGACCTGAATTTGAATCAATAACAACCTTGGCTCCCTTAACAGATGTGTATTTACTAGAAAAAGTTTCTTGCAGCATAGCATCAGTTACATCAGCAGCCAAATCACCAACAAATATAGATAGGTCAGACCCAGTGTCCGGTCGCCTATCACTTCCACTAAAGGTTGCCCAATTGAGACGAAAAGGCAGATCTGTGTTAGGCATTATAGCTCCATTATAATTCTGCAATACCTTATCAGCTGTTGCATGCGAATAGAACTCAACAAATCCATAGCCCTCAGATTGACCAGTTTGCTTATTGCATATAACCTTAACAGAGAAAACCTGAAGCAAACAGAAGACACACAGTTCAGTCAACTAATGATCAAAAAAAGATGCTCATGATGGAGATTGAATTAGACCAGGGGAAATATAAAAGACAGTCTGCAGCTATCCATCTAATCATTGACCAATAAACCAGAATCAGAAGCAAGCAATATGTCACTCAAGAACACTGCACGGACGAATTAAGAATAATGGTAAATCAATACCATACACTAACTCCTTCAAAAGAGTAATGACACTGAAGACCAATCACACATTGTTTGATGAAATTCAGCCTCAAGTTATTTTAAGACAAGAAACTAAGAAACGAACACACGTTATTTCAATTTAAACTCAATAATACACTTTACTTTAATTTAAATTCATGACATCATGAGGAAGGAAACATAAACTCCAATAGTATTGCAAACCTTGTGATCTATTTGCGTCGATCATTATGATGTCAAAGAAGAATTGAAAGGACAAATCAAGGACAAACAAACGGTAATTAACAAAGCGCAAAAAAAGAGATGCTCATACAAAAATAAATCAGTCTAGGATTTGTCCCCTCTTAAGTAACAATTCTGTTCGCATTGGCGAGTCTTGTTTTGGACCACCAATCTAATTTCGGAACAATATAAGATGCAGCAATAATAATGCCAACAATCACAGATTCACAGACTTCAAATCAATTATATAACGCGTAAGCACGAAAAAAAATAAAGAAATCCGATCGATCTCTGTACAGAAAGCCGCAAAACGATCGAACAGAAACTAGAAGAACGAAAATAGGTTGAGAATCGTAAAAAGTAAAAGCTCGATACGATAAGTAAGTTAGACCTCGCCGATGTGAGCGAAACAATTGTGGAGATAGGTCTCGTCCATCCAAGGCTGAAGATCACCAATCCAAAGCGTCTTAACCTCGTCCGTGGACCCCTGTCTGCGAGGTCGCTGCGACTGAGCTTGCTGTTGCTGCTGCTGCTGCAACGGCGGCGGCTGCTGTTGATAAGGAAGGTGAGAATACGTCATGTAATGCTGAGGAGGGTACATCATCATCTGTTGTTGATGCATCATGGCCATGGCGGCTGCGGGGTACTGCATCGCCATCCATTGCTGTTGATACTGTTGTTGTTGTTGAAACCATTGTTGGTGGGGGTGGGGGGCCTGGGGATTGAGATCAGCTCCATTGGACGGCTGGGCCATGATCTTCAAACAGTCTCCGTATCCGTCCGTATACGTATACGTCTCCTTCTCCGTCTCCGTCTCCTTCTTTCTTCTCTCTCCGACGACGAGATTAAGCGAGAAACGACGGCTCCGGTTGGATGCAAAGGAGTAAGACCAGGTTGGAGAGAGAGAGAGAGAGAGTGATGCTGTTGAAGGAGAGAGAAAGAAAGGAGAGAAAGAGGAGGAGATTGGGAATGAGAAAGAGGTTTTATTGTGAATGATAGGTTACAATAAAATAATAAAATAATATAATGGGAGAGAGAAAGAGAGAGAGGAGGCGGTGGTGGCCACGGTGGTGGATGGTGGATCTCCGCCGGTAACTTTACAAAAATAAAAAAATAAAAATTATAAAACAGATTTCAAAACCTGAATGGAAAAAGAAAGGAAAGAGGAAGAAGATTGGTTTGCCCTAAAAATGGCCTTCAATTCAAAAAATTAATTCAAAAAATTATATATTTTAAATTTTCTATCCGAAAATTTATGATCCATTCAAATATGTATCTAATAACAATTAGTTATTAATTAGTTATTAACTTTTTATCAAAAATTAAGTTATGGAGATCTCGAAAATATATTTAAATTATATTTTTAATAATATGTTTAGAGGTATTTATTAAAAAAATGACGTAAGTAATTCCGTTCAAATAGTAAATGATGACAAAAATAAAATATTTGTCGCATTAAATAAACTACTTCGGACGTTAAGATTATATTATCCGTCTCCATTCCATCATATCTGTCCAAAGTAAATTATTAAATTGTAATAAATTTTGAATTTTTAAAAAGATTCGTTAAATACTATATTATATTTTTGCTTATAAAATGTAATTGAATTTATTACGATATTTTATTATTTTATTTTCACAAAAACTATATTGAAAAAAAAAATCATCTATTAAAATATTATTTTAAATAATTGATAAATTTTTTAGGTGATTTCGTAAAATATTTACCGTTAATTTACCAACAAGAAACCGTAATTTTTCAACCTATTTGTTAAGTTTTTATTAAAAAAAAAAAAAAAAAAAAAAAAAAAAAAAAAAAAAAAAAAAAAAA